TGTCGAGATTTATGAACTTTCTGCTGCAAAAAATTTGGACCCGATTCAAGATGCTCATTTGTTAACAGAGAAATAACTTCTATTGCGTTTGCTCAGATTCCTCTTTATTTAGGGTTTCCATGGAAGCCAAGGAATAGAAGTTCAATCTTGGGAAGATTAAACAGTCCCTCAGATATAATGCAAAACAGCTTATTTCAACATTCCCTCAAGAACAGAAACGAGAAATTCTTCCCCACATACGCAAGAAAAATAAAAAGGTTTGTGGAAATTTTCAAAATAAATTGGGACTCAGCCTCTCCAACGCTGCACGCAGCTACGGCTTCTTGCTGCCAGTAGCTCCACCAGCGCCCAGCACAGTCACTCAGGTGAGAAAGTAAAGGAACACAAAAAAAAGTCTGCAGGATAAAGACGCCACAGCTTAAAAACCGGCTCGTTCAAGACAACTATTGCTATACAACATCCGGGAAGCAAGTTAATTCAACCACAAGATCTTGCACAAAGAGCAACAGTCACCTCATAAATTAGTATCTCAGCGGATTTTTTAGAATAAAAAATGCGGAGATTGCACAGTTTGGCAGCATCTTCCATGGCAATGCTCTGGACGCTACTAGAGCTAACATACCAACATTGAAAAAATTAAAATAAATCAGCTATCTTCAGTTACTCTGGGCTGCTCTGGTGAGAATGGTAAACATTTCCATGCCTCCCTACCGCACAGGTCAGCGGAGCGTCGGTAGCCACAATGACAGGCTGCTGGACACTATAAATTAACAGTAAGGCGTTTTTTTTCTGACCTCCATCCCCCAGGTAAAGATTTATTTCACGTTGTTCCAACCTGGTATGAAAACGCCCAAGACCGAGGAACTCCACTCCGGAATACTTCTATTTCATAGCATGTTTCTTAACCATTTTAAAACCTGGCACAGATATATTGAAATAATGGGTAAAGTGCATTTTTTTTTCCTGTGTTGCACACAGGATTTTGCTACCTGCTCCAATAAGGGAACTAAACACAGCTGAACCTCAAATAAGTTATTTTCAATCTTAAAGCCATTATCGCTTAAATTAAAAAAATAATAATAATACTTAAATGGTAGACTTTTCTCATCCTGCGCTTATGGTGAGTACCCGACTGCTCAGTGAAAACACACTTCAAGAAACATTCAAGCTTTTTATTAACTCCACAGGAAAGTCCCAGGACCCTGGGATTTTGTTTTTCCGACTCCTGATTAAAACAGCGGGAGTCCACGTGAATTCTACCCCCCCCCGGCCTTTTTTTTTTTTTAAACTTCCTTTCCCCAAGAGCTCCACATGCAACATCCCCCTCCTCAAAAAAATCTAGAAGAAAACAAGAATCAAACCGAAAACATTTCGCCAGCTGAAAGGCGCCGAGACCTCGCGTGGGGCGGGATGCGTTTCCAGCTGCCAGCCTAAAGGGACGGCCGAGGGAGATTAAACACAGAAATGCTTTTCATAAGGCAGGCGCCTTTGAAGAGGACAGTTCAGCTACTTCATTTCGTAACCTTCACAAAGCGTCAGATTTTAGCCTAAGCAGGTCTTAAAACAAGGAGATTTTATTTAAAAAAAAAAAAAAAAAAAAAAAAAAAAAAAAAAAGTAGGAATGTGTTCTGGCCGGGTTCTGTTGATTCAGCAAAGGTTAGACACACACACGCTTATTGATCCCAGAGAGCTCCCTGCTAAGTTAATTGTCTGGAATTTTAACTGAGCTCTCAGCAAGTTTCAAAATCCATGTTGGCTGGAAGTGGGTGGGGGACCCAGAAAAAAAAACAGGCTGCAAAACTGTGCAACTTCTCCAGTTAAAAAAACCAACCAACCAAACAACAAAAAAACCAACCCAACAGCAATTACTTTGATGAAGGGAAAAGCTGCAGCAGGGAATGGTTTTAAGTGGATTTGGCGATTCTGACTTTGACACCACTAGAATTCAGCGCTGGGAATGTCATGTGCAAAGCGATACCATTATCAGGGAGTACGGTGAATCCCATTTCACTGAGGTATATATATATATATATATATATTACAGAGGTGAGGGCATCTCCTGCAAGCTTCCTGCAGCCTCTACTCATGGCTCATCACAACGATTTCCTGGTGTATTTACAAGAAGTTTTACCACGAGCTGTGATTGCCTGTGTTCCTGTAACTGAACACCGAGGTTCTGCCGGTGCGGGCTCCGGCCAACCTGAAACTGCAGCTTGACATCCTGTGCGTGCAGGACCAAACAACAAAAAAACCAACCCAACAGCAATTACTTTGATGAAGGGAAAAGCTGCAGCAGGGAATGGTTTTAAGTGGATTTGGCGATTCTGACTTTGACACCACTAGAATTCAGCGCTGGGAATGTCATGTGCAAAGCGATACCATTATCAGGGAGTACGGTGAATCCCATTTCACTGAGGTATATATATATATATATATATATTACAGAGGTGAGGGCATCTCCTGCAAGCTTCCTGCAGCCTCTACTCATGGCTCATCACAACGATTTCCTGGTGTATTTACAAGAAGTTTTACCACGAGCTGTGATTGCCTGTGTTCCTGTAACTGAACACCGAGGTTCTGCCGGTGCGGGCTCCGGCCAACCTGAAACTGCAGCTTGACATCCTGTGCGTGCAGGAGGACATCCACTGCCCACCAAGCCCTACCTGCCTTTAGCAGCAGCCTCCCCAGGTGAGGAACGTGCTGTAGGGATGACTCGGGGCCATCAGACAGGAACACCCTTAATATAACCCAAACCCGCGACCAATTTCAAATAAAGCTTTGGATTCCACCAAACATGACAGCAACCTGTGCGGATGCTCCCCACCACCCAAGGTCCTCCCCACCACCCAAGGTCCTCTCCAAGGCTTCCCATCACCCCCATGGCATCTCCCCACTCTGTCCCCCCAGACACCCCGCAGAGGGGACGCTGCCCCGGCGCTCCCCTACCTGAACTCCCTGCCCTCGCTGTAGCGCCGGGCCGAGGCGGCGCGTTGGGTGGCCGTCTCCAGGAGCAGCTTCTGCGTCAGCCTGCTGGAGGGTGCTGAGTCCCGGCTGGCCTCGGACTCGGCCTCTTGGTCGCATTTCCACTCCTCGTCCTCGTTCAGAGTCGGCAGATAACCAGGTAGCCCTTTACCTGTCCCGGACCCCGAGCTGGGATCGCTATAAATTTTTGGACTTTCCCCACCTGTCCTCGTGTATTCCAAATAAATATCCGACTTGAGGAACAAAGGGTAGGTATTGTCTTCTATCATGCACTGAATCTCCGTTTGGGCCTGGTCAAACATGTCGGGGTCAATCTGCAGTTTCATGACGCAGTCTTTGATGAAGCTTTTTGTGGCTGGTTTGATCTGCCGGGACACAATGCCGTTGTTGTCGAGGATGTATTTTTTGTAAATGGCTTTTGCCAGCTTGAGTCTTTTTTCCTCGTTAGACGTGCAGGGCTCCAGCTTCCTGAAGCCGCTGCAGGCAAACCAGAAGTCCAGCAGATCCGCGCAGTCCTCCTGTTTCAGGAAAGTCCTGAAGAGGTTGATACCGTCTTGATCATCCAGCAAGGAGTGCAGCGACTCGGCCCACTTCAGGTAGGGTGGAGTTGGCGAAGCACTCCCCTCGGGCTCGTACCCCAAATCCAAATCGGAGCGCCGCGGGGTTGCCGTCGACGTCTCATTTCTAACCACATCGCTTTTACCGGAGTAGAAACCGTGGCTAACTGGCCTTGGATCCGTGGACACCAGCTCCCCCTCCTCGCCAGGAACCGGCGGCCTCGGAGCATCTTCAGTGAAGCTTCCTCCAAGGTCCAAGGGAAAGCCTTTCCCTTGGACGTTCATTTTTCTGGTCCTTGCTTGCGCAGGAACAATGGGGGACGAGCTGAAATCTCAAATCACTGATATTTGTAGCTCCAAGGTGAACAAGTTTGTTTGGCTGAAACAGACGAGAAAAAAAATAAGTGAGTATCGCTGTAAATAAACACTCTAAGATTACAAACAACTCATTTTATTATGTGCCATTACTGTATTAACACCTCTTTTTCAGCAGAATCAACGGGAAAGCTCTCAGCGACTTCAGAGAGCACAGAACTGGGCTCAAACCAGGCACCCTCTAAAAATCACAGTTACAGAATATCCCAAAACTTTACACCCAGCATTCAGCAGCACTGATACGGCTGATGCCACGCAAAAACATTGGCCAACTTCACAACACCAATAGTCTTACAGGATCCCGGGATCTGGTAACCCCCACATCCAAGAGATCTACACGCAGGTGCCACATGGTGCCACAGGACACATGCCATCTTCTGCGCTGCCATTAACCCCTCTACACAGCCTACCTGGAGAGAACACGCACCAGCTCTTACTAAGCATGTTTTTATCTGGCTGCCCATCTAGCAAATGCTCATCCCCTAACAGGAATTTAAGGCTTGTAAAAAATATTGTGAAAGAATATCCAGTTAGCCCCGAAAGCGAGACTGCACCTTAATCAAACACAGGTGGCTTTCGTACGCTCAAGTACAGAGGTGAGGGCATCTCCTGCAAGCTTCCTGCAGCCTCTACTCATGGCTCATCACAACGATTTCCTGGTGTATTTACAAGAAGTTTTACCACGAGCTGTGATTGCCTGTGTTCCTGTAACTGAACACCGAGGTTCTGCCGGTGCGGGCTCCGGCCAACCTGAAACTGCAGCTTGACATCCTGTGCGTGCAGGAGGACATCCACTGCCCACCAAGCCCTACCTGCCTCCAGCAGCAGCTTCCCCAGGTGAGGAACGTGCTGCAGGGATGATTTGGGGCCATCAGACAAGAACACCCTTAATATAACCCGCGACCAATTTCAAATAAAGCTTTGGATTCCACCAAACATGACAGCAACCTGTGCGGATGCTCCCCACCACCCAAGGTCCTCCCCACCACCCAAGGTCCTCTCCAAGGCTTCCCATCGCCCCTGCGTTGTCTCCCCGCTCCGTCCCCCCAAGACACCCCGCAGAGGGGACGCTGCCCCGGCGCTCCCCTACCTGAACTCCCTGCCCTCGCTGTAGCGCCGGGCCGAGGCGGCGCGTTGGGTGGCCGTCTCCAGGAGCAGCTTCTGCGTCAGCCTGCTGGAGGGTGCTGAGTCCCGGCTGGCCTCGGACTCGGCCTCTTGGTCGCATTTCCACTCCTCGTCCTCGTTCAGAGTCGGCAGATAACCAGGTAGCCCTTTACCTGTCCCGGACCCCGAGCTGGGATCGCTATAAATTTTTGGACTTTCCCCACCTGTCCTCGTGTATTCCAAATAAATATCCGACTTGAGGAACAAAGGGTAGGTATTGTCTTCTATCATGCACTGAATCTCCGTTTGGGCCTGGTCAAACATGTCGGGGTCAATCTGCAGTTTCATGACGCAGTCTTTGATGAAGCTTTTTGTGGCTGGTTTGATCTGCCGGGACACAATGCCGTTGTTGTCGAGGATGTATTTTTTGTAAATGGCTTTTGCCAGCTTGAGTCTTTTTTCCTCGTTAGACGTGCAGGGCTCCAGCTTCCTGAAGCCGCTGCAGGCAAACCAGAAGTCCAGCAGATCCGCGCAGTCCTCCTGTTTCAGGAAAGTCCTGAAGAGGTTGATACCGTCTTGATCATCCAGCAAGGAGTGCAGCGACTCGGCCCACTTCAGGTAGGGTGGAGTTGGCGAAGCACTCCCCTCGGGCTCGTACCCCAAATCCAAATCGGAGCGCCGCGGGGTTGCCGTCGACGTCTCATTTCTAACCACATCGCTTTTACCGGAGTAGAAACCGTGGCTAACTGGCCTTGGATCCGTGGACACCAGCTCCCCCTCCTCGCCAGGAACCGGCGGCCTCGGAGCATCTTCAGTGAAGCTTCCTCCAAGGTCCAAGGGAAAGCCTTTCCCTTGGACGTTCATTTTTCTGGTCCTTGCTTGCGCAGGAACAATGGGGGACGAGCTCAAATCTCAAATCACTGATATTTGTAGCTCCAAGGTGAACAAGTTTGTTTGGCTGAAACAGACGAGAAAAAAAATAAGTGAGTATCGCTGTAAATAAACACTCTAAGATTACAAACAACTCATTTTATTATGTGCCATTACTGTATTAACACCTCTTTTTCAGCAGAATCAATGGGAAAGCTCTCAGCGACTTCAGAGAGCACAGAACTGGGCTCAAACCAGGCACCCTCTAAAAATCACAGTTACAGAATATCCCAAAACTTTACACCCAGCATTCAGCAGCACTGATACGGCTGATGCCACGCAAAAACATTGGCCAACTTCACAACACCAATAGTCTTACAGGATCCCGGGATCTGGTAACCCCCACGTCCAAGAGATCTACACGCAGGTGCCACATGGTGCCACAGGACACATGCCATCTTCTGCGCTGCCATTAACCCCTCTACACAGCCTACCTGGAGAGAACACGCACCAGCTCTTACTAAGCATGTTTTTATCTGGCTGCCCATCTAGCAAATGCTCGTCCCCTAACAGGAATTTAAGGCTTGTAAAAAATATTGTGAAAGAATATCCAGTTAGCCCCGAAAGCGAGACTGCACCTTAATCAAACACAGGTGGCTTTCGTACGCTCAAGTGACATACCAGCACCGCATTCCTCGCAAATCTCTGCGTTTTAGAAATAACGCTGCGTCGCCTCATCTAGCTCTAGGGGAATCCAGATGCATCGCTGACCCCAATATTTTGGGCATCTGGACTGCATTCTTGCCTCAGATGGGCAAGTTAGCACAGGAGCTCGGGTCTGGCACCAGTTCTTATAGACAGGCCATGGAGAAAAGGTTCATTTACGCTAACAAGACTGCACGCTGCGAGCCTGGGAAAATTTCAGGTCATCAAAGGAAGCCGAGAAACCCATCTCGAGAAGGAAATCTGATCAAGTGCAATGTTTTTAAAGAAGAGCAACGAGTCAATATGGAGGATGGGAGGGAGGTGTGGGGAAGGAGGGTGAGGACAACCCCCGGGGCCGCGACTTCCACTGCTCAACAAGGTAAATTTCATGATTTAAAGGCAGTGGCCAAAGTCAGGTTTCACAGAACAGCACCCGCCTGGAAGCCTCGGGTACCTCAAAGCCCCACAGATTTACTCCTCGCACCGGCTTGACCCAACTGCGTGTGAAAACGCACCAGGGAAGACACAGCTTTGCCCGGCCGCCCTCCTGAAGCTCACCCCGCTCCAAGGAACACGTCTTGGGGATGCTCTGCCATCTTCTTCCCCCCTGTTCCTTCTCCGCGGGGGAACCAAGAGCGGCCGCCTGCCCAGTGACCATCCTTACAGCCCACCTGGCCATTGCCGTGCCCATCTTTACAGCCCACCTAGCCATTGCTGTGCCCATCTTTACAGCCCACCTGGCCATTGCCGTGCCCATCTTTACAGCCCACCTAGCCATTGCTGTGCCCATCTTTACAGCCCACCTGGCCATTGCTGTGCCCATCTTTACAGCCCACCTGCCCACCACCGTGCCCGTCCTTACAGCCCACCTGGCCACCACCATGCCTGTCCCTACAGCCCACCTGGCCACCGTGGAACAAGCCCAGCCAGCCCAGGGGTGGCCAACGAGCAGGGCCAGGCCCCATCTGCCCACCCTGAGCCCTGCAGGAGCCAACACCGCCCTCGCAGCCAGCCCAAGCTGCCTTGGCACCGGGGACCGGGGGCTGCTTTTTGGGTCCTTTTCACCCCGAGTGGGGATGCGGCCGCGAGGCTGGCACCCACCTCCCCGGCGAAGGTAGCCCGGGTGCCGGTGACCCCCGGCCCCACAGCCATTGTTGAGGCGGCGCCGGCTCCTCGCCCCGGCCGGGGGTATCCCCGCGGGGTGCCCGCCGAGAGCCACGGGGACCAGCGAGGCACCGGGCCGGGGAGGGAGGGGGGGGGAAGAAGAGACCACCGCCTCAGGACCCCCGGCCCCCCGGGCAGCCCCGGCGCTGACAGAGCCCCCCCCGCCGC